AAGGCATGTTATTTTTTTCAGGAGAACAAATAGGCTTTGGATAGGTACATTTCTGAGCCCTGAAAATGACCAGATGCTGGATAGCCAGGTGACTTACCGCTCTCGAGTAGGAACACTGACTTCCTTTGACAAGGTATTTTTCTGCTTGGAAAAGCCTGTAGCATTATTGGGAAATGCTGGAAAGCTGGGCTTCACCTAGAATGAAGAAGAACACCGCACATGAACCTTCCACAGCAAGAAAATAGAGAAATTAAAGTAGTATTTTGCTGAGCCAACAAATAAAAACTTCAGTTTTCTAAATAGCTTTAAATTTTAAAAGGATTTTCCAGCACTGAGCCAAAGTACCATTTCATAGAATCATAGAATCATAGAATCATAGAATGGTTAGGGCTGGAAGGGACCTTCAAAGGTCATCTAGTCCTCATTTCACAACACTTCATCTAGTTCATCATTTCACAACACTTATTTCAGTTTGGTAACTCCTCCCACGCTACCGAAGAGTAAACTGATGAAAAGTAGGGTACAGGGGCTCCATTACACGTGTATCACACCCCAGTCTAACCAGAAAGTCTAGAGAACAAAAAAAGACAGAAGAAATGACAAATCTTCCAGAAAAACAGAATTCTGCCAAATTAGAAACTTTCTAACCAACAAAAGGCTGAATTTACAGTCTTTTTGGGGCACCAGCTGCCACCCAAAGCAGCAAACGGAGCCAGACATCCAAACCTACAGAATATTCTCCTAACAACGAAACCCCTCGACGTCCACAAAGAAGCAATAGAGTGACAGAATTCACTGGAGCTGTTCCTGCCCTAGGTTTGAATGGGAGTAACTGGAGTTGGCCTGCAGCTGCCACGGAAACACAGAGCAGAACTGTTAAACAAGGAATGAAGTGTTTCTGACACGTTTACACAGACTGACCCACTGCAGTACTGGGAATCAGGAGGGCCAGTTGTGATAGGACAAGGGGTAATGGTTTTAAAATAGAGGGAGGTAGATTCAGGTTGGATATTAGGAAAAAATTTTTTACCATGAGAGTTGTAGAACACTGGAACAGGTTGCCCAGAGAGGTGGTGGATGCTCCATCCCTGGAGACGTTCAAGGCCAGGTTGGACGAGGCCCTGAGCAACCTGATCTAGTTGGAGATATCCCTGTTCCTTGCAGGGGGGTTGGACTAGATGACCTTTGAAGGTCCCTTCCAGCCCTAACCATTCTATGATTCTATGAATCTGCTCATTGCTTCAGAAACCCACCGAGTCAGTGCTGATTACTGGGAATCTAATCAGATACGCACCGGGGAGGAAACTGAAGTACATCCCAAAGAACCTGGTGGCTGGGTCCGGATCCTTGCCTGCCTTTCCTCTTTGAGGTTATTTAGGTTTTGAAGAGGGGAAACTGCCACTTTGATCTGCCCTCGGCACTGCCCGCTGAAGTCCGTAATATTGTACCACCCGCACACCACTTGGAAGCCAGAGAGAAGAGGAGAAAGGTCCACTGATGCAAATCCTATCACTCGCTCACTCTCTGGGGAAGAAGAATATAAAGAACGTATTAATTTAAACTGCATCACACAAAATATTTTCAAGAATGCGAAAAATCAGTCAGTTATACAGCCCTTGTAGACTTTACAGGGAAAGAAATCTTATAAAGCCAAAAAAACAGTTTCAAAGCTGACAGCTTCCAAGAGGTAAAGAGCAAGTAGAGTGGAACAAAAAAAAAGCGGAGGAAAGTTTGCTGGTGACACCAAGCTGTGTGGTGTTTGTGGACACGCTGGAGGGAAGGGATGGCATCCAGAGGGACCTGGACAGGCTGGAGAGGTGGGCCTGTGAGAACCTCATGAAGTTCAACAAGGCCAAGGGCAAGGTCCTGCACGTGGGTCGGGGCAATCCCAAGCACAAATCCAGGCTGGGTGGAGAATGGATGGAGAGCAGCCCTGAGGAGAAGGACTTGGGGGTGCTGGTGGATGAGAAGCTCACCATGAGCCGGCACCGTGCGCTGGCAGCCCAGAAAGCCAACCGTGTCCTGGGCTGCATCCAGAGCAGCGTGGGCAGCAGGGCGAGGGAGGGGATTCTGCCCCTCTGCTCTGCTCTCCTGAGACCCCCCTGCAGTGCTGCCTTCAGCTCTGGGGTCCCCAGCACAAGAAGGACATGGAGCTGCTGGAGCGGGTCCAGAGGAGCCAACGGAGATGATGCGAGGGCTGGAGCACCTCTGCTCTGGAGACAGGCTGGGGGGGGTGGGGGGGGGTGAGGCGG